TCCCCAACATCCTCCACTCCCCTGTCTGCTCGTCCTCCCAACCATCCCCCACTCTCGTCCTCCCCACCATTCCCCACTCCCGTCCCATCGTCCTCCCCACCATTCCCCACTCCCATCCCATCGTCCTCCCCACCATTTCCCACTCCCGTCCCATCGTCCTCCCCACCATTCCCCACTCCCATCCCATCGTCCTCCCCACCATTCCCCACTTCCGTCCCATCGTCCTCCCCACCATTCCCCACTCCCGTCCCATCGTCCTCCACACCATTCCCCACTCCCGTCCCATCGTCCTCCCCACCATTCCCCACTCTCTCGTCCGATGCATTCCCATAAGAAAAATGGGAGCATCAAATGATCTGATGTTCCCATCACTGAAAAATAAGTAGAACAGTTAAAAAAAGAAATGAAAAAATTAAAAATAAACTATATTCACAAAATGAACAGTATGGTGAACAACATAGCTCAATTCCAATGCAATGTCACACAAAATAATTAAATAAAATTTAAAATAAATCAAAATCTATGAATTCAATTTATCTATGCAATCGGAAACCTTGAAATGGAATCGTAACATATTTAGTATAGCGTGTGTTTCTTTTACGTGCAACGTGCAACACTGTTTAAAAAAAACGCATGTTTTTACCTGTCAGAGGTGTCATCAATATAGTAGGTATATAAAAACACGCTTTTATTCGGATGGATCATTGTGTCAAAATTTCAAAGCAACGGTGAAGAACGTTCGGATATTGCAGTGTGTGCTGCTCTTACATCCAACTAATGGCGCTGTTTTTCAAAAAAGCATGTTTTTTCCTGTCACTTGTGACGCATGTTTATAGTAGGTATATAAAAACATGCACCTATTCTAATGCAACGTTGTGTCAAAATTTTAAAGCAATCGGTAAAGAGGTTTCGAAGATTTCACTCACATGAAAAATACTTGAAAAGCAGAGTTAAAAAAAAAACACGTTTTTTCCCCGTCACAGTCGTGACATCTTTATAGTGTGTATATAAAACACGCCCGGATGTGAATGGAACAGTGTGTGAAAATTTCAAAACAATCGGTGAAGAACTTACGGAGATTAGCAATTTTGAACAAACGAACATTTACCTTTTTATTTATATAGATTAGCTGTACCCGACGACGCGATGCTGTGGCTCAGCAAAACATGTGCATTGCTGAGCCACAGCAACCTTTCCCAGTCTCCCAGTCCTCCCCACAATTCCCCCCCCCCTCCCCCATCCCTCTCGTCCTCCCAGCCATTCCTCACTCCCCCGTCCTCTCGTCCTCCCAACCATTTCCCACTCCCCGGTCCCCTCGTCATCCCCACCATTCCCCGGTCCCATTGTCCACCCCACCATCCCCCCCCCCCACCCCAAGCGTCTCCCCCCGTCATTCTAACCATTCCCCACTTCACCATCCCCTCATCATCCCCACCATCTTCCACTTCCCCATCCCCCTCTTCCTCCCTACCATTCCCCCTCTTCCCTGTCCCCTCGTCTTCCCCACCATCCCCCACTCCCATCCCCTCGTCATTCCCACCATTCCCGACTCCCTCGTTCGATGCATTCCCAACTGATCTGATATTCCCATCAGGAAATTGGGAACATCAAATGATCTGATGTTCTCATCACTGAAATATAAGGAAAACTGTTAAAAAGAACGAAATGAAAAACAATGAAAAAATAAAAAATAAACTTTACACACAATATGAACGGTATGGTAAAGAACACAGCTCAATTCCAACACAATGTCAGACAAAATAATTAAATCAAAATGAAAATAAATCAAAATCTATGAAAAATAATTTTATCTATTGAATCAGAAACACTGAAATGGAATCGTAGCATATTTAGTATAGCGTGTGTTGCTCTTACATGCAATGGATGGCACTGTTTAAAAAAACAAAAACATGTTTTTACTTGTCACAGGTGTGGCATCTATACTAGTACTCCTGAAATTAGCGGTGTGGTAAACAACACAGCTCAATTCCAATGCAATGTCACACAAAATAATTAAATCAAAATGAAAATATATCGAAATCTATGGAAATTCAATTTGTCAATACATTCAGAATCATTGAAATGGAATCGTAACATATTTAGTGTAGCATGTGTTGCTCTTATGTGCAACAGATGGGGCTGTTTCTTAAAAAAAATGAATGTTTTACCTGTCAGAGGTGCGGCATCTGTACTTACAAAATGAACGGTATGGTAAACTACACTGCTCAATTCCAGCGTAATGTCACACAAAATAATTAAATCAAAATGAAAATAAATCTAAATCTATAAAAATTCAATTTATCAATGCTATCAGAAAAACTGAAATGGAATCGTAACATATTTAGTATAGCATGTGTAGCAATTACGTGCAACAGATGGCGCAGTTTTTCAAAAAAAGCATGTTTTTACCTGTCACGGGTGTTTCATCTATATAGTACGTATAAAAAACATGTACCTATTTGAATGCATTGTTGTGTCAAAATTTTAAAGCAGTCGTTGTAGAACTTTCTGTGATTACAGAGTATGTTGCTCTTACGTCCAACAGATGGCAATGTTTTTCCAGAAAAACATGTTTTTACCTGTCACAGGTGTGGCATCTATATAGTAAGTATATAAAAACACGTGCCGAATCGAATGCAACGTTGTGTTAAAATTTCAGAGCAATTGGTAAAGAGGTTTCGAAGATTTGCCTCACATGAAAAACACATAACAGACAGAGTTTAAAAAAAAAATATGTTTTTTCCCGTCACAGACGTGACATCGATATAAAATCCCGCTCGAATGCGAATGGAACGTTGTGTGAAAAATTCAAAGCAATCGGCGGAGAACTTTCGGAGATTAGCTATTTTGAACAAATGAACATTTACATTAATATTTATATATATGTTTTCAAGATGATGACGCATGGTATTTGCAGTTATCGATTCAAGTAACTTTCCCACATTAGACGATAAGCTATTTAGTCGACAGTTTGACGCAAGCAACCTCCAATACCGTGACCCTCTATTTTTTTTATTGAATCGTTCATGTGGAACTGTATCAAAAACTTTGCTAAAATCAAGGAACAAAATGCCCCAAACATTTCGATTATCAACTGCCTCAACTATGCCGGAATAGAATGATTTCAAATTTGTTAAACATGAACGGTCGTTAGTAAAACCATGTTTTGCATCATTTATTAATCTATGTTTTTCAAGATGAAGACAAATAGCGACTCTATTAACGATTCTAACAATTTTCCCACAATAAATGTTAAGTTAATTGGCCGATAGTTTGATGCAATTGATCTGTCTCCTTTCTTGAAAATTGGTACCACATTAACAATCTTCCACGGGTCTGGCACTCTGCCTGACTCTAATTCTTTATTACATATGGTGGACAATGGCTCGCAAAGCTCTTCTTTGCATTCCTTTAGCATCCCTGGCAAACACTTCGTCCGGCCCTGGGGATTTGTTTGGCTTGAGTTTCACTATTTGTTTAATAATATCCACCATGGTAACTGTTAAACTAGTCAACCTGTCCTCTTCCCCACCCACATAGACTTGTTCGGGTGAAGGAATATTGTTCAGTTCTTCTTTAGTAAATACAGAGATAAAATATTTATTAAAAATACTACTCATCTTTTCCTCATTATCAGTTATCTGACCTGTCTCAGTTTATAATGGATCTATCCATACCCCTAACCTTTGTTCGATATAACGGAAAAAACTTTTTAAATTTGTCTTTGCGAACATGCTACGCTATGCTATGCGATCTTCATAGTTTCTACTCATTAACTTGACACCAGAAGCCAATCTCAACATGCCACTCGAAGCCCACACCAACCTGACACCAGAAGCCCACATCAACCTGACACTAGAAGCCCATGTCATTCTGCTACCAACGCCCACATGAAACTTACACCAGAAACCCACATCAATCACCCACTAGAAGCCCCACATTAACCTGACACCAGAAGCCCACGTCAACCTGCCACCTGAAGCCCACATCAATTTGTCACTAGAAGCCTTCATCAACCTGTCACCAGAAGCCCACATCAAAAGAATTTTATCAGATGCACACAGAAAGTTGAATAATATAACAACTGTCTTTAGGAATCTGAACAAAAAGTTTTTAACAATCTTCTTTATTACTTATGTCAGACCAGTTCTGGAATATGCGACAACAGCCAGGAGTTCTTATATCGTTAAGCACAGAATGAAGCTGGAGAAATTTCGAAGGTATGTCACCAAGTTAGTCTCAAAGCTGAGATATATGTGCTGCAAGGAAAGATCACAGATGTTAAACCTCACGTCACTGGGAGGGAGAGGAAATTTGGGAGATATGATTAGCCCATACAAAATACTCAGGCGAATTGACAAAGCAGTCAGAGATACTATTTAGCAGGGGTAATACACGAACAATTGGGCATAAGTTGATACAAAGTACTGTACCCTAATGACCAATAGAGACATTTGAAACTTTGTTGTTCAGTGTCAGAGTAGTGTACAAGTGTAATGGGCTGAGAACTGAAGTGTTGGCGGAAGACTTCATACACTATTTTATGTGTTGATACGGTCTAATATATAGGCACCGGAACCAGTATTCCAGTTGTTTAAGAGCTGAGAGGCGGGACACAAGAGTCATGGCTCATCACCTGCAAATACAACTATAAGTGTATAACTAAGTGAGTACAATTAGGTGAGTACAACCATGTGAGAGTGTATATATGGTATGTTCATTATAGGCGAGACTACGACATATATACCAGTATGAAGACTGACAAAGTTTCACGATGTGTAGTGGATATGTTGACAAACTTAACACCCTCAATCAAGCAACATTGAATCCAATCAATTCGTCAACCCATATTAATACATTATTGACCATATGTTATTTGTTTAGCTTCCTCTAACCTACAGAATCCAAACCTAAGAAACTTCCTCTCAAATAAGACGATAATTCTTTAATCTTCCAGAATTGAACCGCATATATTTGAATGGATTTCCTTTGCTCTGCAGGACCCGGTGGCGCCCGAGGCGTGGGACGGGGTGAGGGACGGGACCCACATGCCCGAGTCGTGCCTCCAGGTGCCCTTTGGCACAGCCTCTCTTGGAGAACGTCTTACACCAGAGCAGATACATGGCTCCGAGGACTGCCTCTACCTCAACGTCTTCAGACCCGCGGTTAGTTCACAACTCTCTAGTTAGTCCACACTACTCTGGCTAGTATACACTACTCTGGGTAGTCTACACTACTCTGGGTAGTCTACACTACTCTGGGTAGTCTACACTACCATGGTTAGTATGAAATGCAAGGTTTAGTCTTTACCCCAGTGGTTAGTCTACACCTCTCTGGTTTGTTTACACTACTCAAGTAAGTCTACACTCCCGTGGTTAGTTTTCACTCCCGTGGTTAGTCTACTACTCTCTAGTTAGTTTACACTACTCTGGGAAGTCTACATTTCTCTGGGAAGTCTGCACTACCATAGTTAGTCTACACTCCCGTGATTAGTCTTCACTTCTACGGTTAATCTTCACCACCGAGGTTAGTCTTCACTAACACTACTCAAGTAAGTCTACACTCCCGTGGTTAGTCTTTACTCCCGTGGTTAGTCTTTACTCCCGTGGTTAGTCTTCATCCCCGTGGTTAGTCTTTACTCCCGTTGTTAGTCTTCACCCCCGTGGTTAGTCTTTACTCCCGTGGTTAGTCTTTACTCCCGTTGTTAGTCTTCACCCCCGTGGTTAGTCTTTACTCCCGTGGTTAGTCTTTACTCCCGTGGATAGTCTTCACTCCCGTGGTTAGTCTTCACTCCCGTGGTTAGTCTTCACCCCCGTGGTTAGTCTTCACCCCCGTGGTTAGTCTACACCCCCATGGTTAGTCTTCACTCCCGTGGTTAGTCTTCACCCCCGTGGTTAGTCTTCACCCCCGTGGTTAGTTTTCACTCCCGTGGTTAGTCTTTACTCCCGTGGTTAGTCTTTACTCCCGTGGTTAGTCTTCACCCCCGTGGTTAGTCTTCACTCCCGTGGTTAGTCTTCACCCCCGTGGTTAGTCTACACCCCCATGGTTAGTCTTCACTCCCGTGGTTAGTCTTCACCCTTGTGGTTAGTCTTCACCCCCGTGGTTAGTTTTCACCCCCGTGGTTAGTCTTTACTCCCGTGGTTAGTCTACACCCCCGTGGTTAGTCTTCACCCCCGTGGTTAGTCTTCACTCCCGTGGTTAGTCTTCACCCCCGTGGTTAGTCTTCACCCCCGTGGTTAGTCTACACTCCCGTGGTTAGTCTTCACCCCCGTGGTTAGTCTTCACCCCCGTGGTTAGTCTTCACCCCCGTGGTTAGTCTTCACCCCCGTGGTTAGTCTTCACCCCCGTGGTTAGTCTTCACCCCCGTGGTTAGTCTTCACCCCCGTGGTTAGTCGTCACTCCCATGGTTAGTCTTCACCCCCGTGGTTAGTCGTCACTCCCATGGTTAGTCTTCACCCCCGTGGATAGTCTTCACCCCCGTGGATAGTCTTCACTCCCATGGTTAGTCTTCACCCCCGTGGATAGTCTTCACCCCCGTGGTTAGTCTTCACCCCCGTGGTTAGTCTTCACCCCCGTGGTTAGTCTTCCCTACCGTGGTTAGTCTTCACCCCCGTGGTTAGTCTTCACCCCCGTGGTTAGTCTTCCCCGCCGTGGTTAGTCTTCACTCCCGTGGTTAGTCGTCACTCCCATGGTTAGTCTTCACCCCCGTGGATAGTCTTCACCCCCGTGGATAGTCTTCACTCCCATGGTTAGTCTTCACCCCCGTGGATAGTCTTCACCCCCGTGGTTAGTCTTCACCCCCGTGGTTAGTCTTCACCCCCGTGGTTAGTCTTCCCTACCGTGGTTAGTCTTCACCCCCGTGGTTAGTCTTCACCCCCGTGGATAGTCTTCCCCGCCGTGGTTAGTCTTCACCCCCGTGGTTAGTCTACATCCTCGTGGATAGTCTTCACCCCCGTGGATAGTCTTCCCCGCCGTGGATAGTCTTCCCCGCCGTGGATAGTCTTCCCCGCCGTGGATAGTCTTCCCCGCCGTGGTTAGTCTTCACTCCCGTGGTTAGTCTTCCCCGCCGTGGTTAGTCTTCACCCCCGGGGATAGTCTTCCCCACCGTGGTTAGTCTTCCCCGCCGTGGATAGTCTTCACTCCCGTGGATAGTCTTCCCCGCCGTGGATAGTCTTCACTCCTGTGGATAGTCTTCACTCCCGTGGATAGTCTTCCCCGCCGTGGATAGTCTTCCCCGCCGTGGTTAGTCTTCACCCCCGTGGATAGTCTTCCCCGCCGTGGATAGTCTTCCCCGCCGTGGATAGTCTTCCCCGCCGTGGTTAGTCTTCACTCCCGTGGATAGTCTTCCCCGCCGTGGTTAGTCTTCCCCGCCGTGGTTAGTCTTCACTCCCGTGGATAGTCTTCCCCGCCGTGGATAGTCTTCCCCGCCGTGGATAGTCTTCTCTCCCGTGGATAGTCTTCCCCGCCGTGGTTAGTCTTCACTCCCGTGGATAGTCTTCCCCGCCGTGGTTAGTCTTCACTCCCGTGGATAGTCTTCCCCACCGTGGATAGTCTTCCCCGCCATGGATAGTCTTCCCCGCCGTGGATAGTCTTCACTCCCGTGGATAGTCTTCCCCGCCGTGGATAGTCTTCCCCGCCGTGGATAGTCTTCCCCGCTGTGGATAGTCTTCACCCCCGTGGATAGTCTTCCCCGCCGTGGTTAGTCTTCCCCGCCGTGGATAGTCTTCCCCGCTGTGGATAGTCTTCACTCCCGTGGATAGTCTTCCCCGCCGTGGATAGTCTTCACTCCCGTGGATAGTCTTCCCCGCCGTGGTTAGTCTTCCCCGCCGTGGATAGTCTTCCCCGCCGTGGATAGTCTTCACTCCCGTGGATAGTCTTCCCCGCCGTGGATAGTCTTCACTCCCGTGGATAGTCTTCCCCGCCGTGGATAGTCTTCACCCCCGTGGATAGTCTTCCCCGCCGTGGTTAGTCTTCCCCGCCGTGGATAGTCTTCCCCGCCGTGGATAGTCTTCACTCCCGTGGATAGTCTTCCCCGCCGTGGATAGTCTTCACTCCCGTGGATAGTCTTCCCCGCTGTGGATAGTCTTCACTCCCGTGGATAGTCTTCCCCGCCGTGGTTAGTCTTCCCCGCCGTGGTTAGTCTTCACCCCCGTGGATAGTCTTCCCCGCCGTGGATAGTCTTCCCCGCCGTGGATAGTCTTCCCCGCCGTGGATAGTCTTCCCCGCCGTGGTTAGTCTTCACTCCCGTGGATAGTCTTCCCCGCCGTGGATAGTCTTCCCCGCCGTGGATAGTCTTCCCCGCTGTGGATAGTCTTCACCCCCGTGGATAGTCTTCCCCGCCGTGGTTAGTCTTCCCCGCCGTGGATAGTCTTCCCCGCTGTGGATAGTCTTCACTCCCGTGGATAGTCTTCCCCGCCGTGGTTAGTCTTCCCCGCCGTGGATAGTCTTCCCCGCTGTGGATAGTCTTCACTCCCGTGGATAGTCTTCCCCGCCGTGGATAGTCTTCACTCCCGTGGATAGTCTTCCCCGCCGTGGATAGTCTTCACTCCCGTGGATAGTCTTCCCCGCCGTGGATAGTCTTCACTCCCGTGGATAGTCTTCCCCGCTGTGGATAGTCTTCACTCCCGTGGATAGTCTTCCCCGCCGTGGTTAGTCTTCCCCGCCGTGGTTAGTCTTCCCCGCTGTGGATAGTCTTCACTCCCGTGGATAGTCTTCCCCGCTGTGGATAGTCTTCACTCCCGTGGATAGTCTTCCCCTCTGTGGATAGTCTTCACTCCCGTGGATAGTCTTCCCCGCTGTGGATAGTCTTCACCCCCGTGGTTAGTCTTCCCCGCCGTGGTTAGTCTTCACCCCCGTGGTTAGTCTTCACCCCCGTGGATAGTCTTCCCCGCCGTGGATAGTCTTCCCCGCCGTGGATAGTCTTCCCCGCCGTGGTTAGTCTTCACTCCCGTGGATAGTCTTCCCCGCCGTGGTTAGTCTTCCCCGCCGTGGTTAGTCTTCACTCCCGTGGATAGTCTTCCCCGCCGTGGATAGTCTTCCCCGCCGTGGATAGTCTTCACTCCCGTGGATAGTCTTCCCCGCCGTGGTTAGTCTTCACTCCCGTGGATAGTCTTCCCCGCCGTGGTTAGTCTTCACTCCCGTGGATAGTCTTCCCCACCGTGGATAGTCTTCCCCGCCGTGGATAGTCTTCCCCGCCGTGGATAGTCTTCACTCCCGTGGATAGTCTTCCCCGCCGTGGATAGTCTTCCCCGCCGTGGATAGTCTTCCCCGCTGTGGATAGTCTTCACCCCCGTGGATAGTCTTCCCCGCCGTGGTTAGTCTTCCCCGCCGTGGATAGTCTTCCCCGCCGTGGTTAGTCTTCACTCCCGTGGATAGTCTTCCCCGCCGTGGTTAGTCTTCCCCGCCGTGGTTAGTCTTCACTCCCGTGGATAGTCTTCCCCGCCGTGGATAGTCTTCCCCGCCGTGGATAGTCTTCACTCCCGTGGATAGTCTTCCCCGCCGTGGTTAGTCTTCACTCCCGTGGATAGTCTTCCCCGCCGTGGTTAGTCTTCACTCCCGTGGATAGTCTTCCCCACCGTGGATAGTCTTCCCCGCCGTGGATAGTCTTCCCCGCCGTGGATAGTCTTCACTCCCGTGGATAGTCTTCCCCGCCGTGGATAGTCTTCCCCGCCGTGGATAGTCTTCCCCGCTGTGGATAGTCTTCACCCCCGTGGATAGTCTTCCCCGCCGTGGTTAGTCTTCCCCGCCGTGGATAGTCTTCCCCGCTGTGGATAGTCTTCACTCCCGTGCATAGTCTTCCCCGCCGTGGATAGTCTTCACTCCCGTGGATAGTCTTCCCCGCCGTGGTTAGTCTTCCCCGCCGTGGATAGTCTTCCCCGCCGTGGATAGTCTTCACTCCCGTGGATAGTCTTCCCCGCCGTGGATAGTCTTCACTCCCGTGGATAGTCTTCCCCGCCGTGGATAGTCTTCACCCCCGTGGATAGTCTTCCCCGCCGTGGTTAGTCTTCCCCGCCGTGGATAGTCTTCCCCGCCGTGGATAGTCTTCACTCCCGTGGATAGTCTTCCCCGCCGTGGATAGTCTTCACTCCCGTGGATAGTCTTCCCCGCTGTGGATAGTCTTCACTCCCGTGGATAGTCTTCCCCGCCGTGGTTAGTCTTCCCCGCC